AGCCCCTTCCTGGTGGGAGAAGGAACAGGGAGCAGGCTTGTTCTCCAAGAGCAGAGTGCTGGCTGGTGAGGAGGAACATTTTAAGGTGGGACACTTCTTCCTGCGCCATTGGTAGCTGTCTACATAAGGCGTCCATTATGTGCAGGCCCCAAGGCCAACAGGCCTGAGAGCCAGGCTAAAATTAGTGTCTACTGTGTGCTCACCAGAGACACAGAACATCTGAAGGTCAGATCCCACCAACTACCCGCCAGGGCAGGAGAGGGAGCCATGCAGCTGTGGCCTCTGGTTCTCCCGGGTACAAGGACAGACAGCCCTGCCCAGTGGCCTGGCTCAGTAGCCCAGCCTGGTTAGAAAACAGAATGCAGATTATATTCCAAAGATACATCTATATATTTTTTTAAATGTGTCCATGTACAGACAGAAAGAATGTAAGAAAAGTCAGCTTATTTACCAAGTCTTCTGTGCAGGCCATTAATTCCAGCACTTCAGAGCCACAGGCAGAAGACTGTAAGTTTGAGTCCTGCCTGGATTACAGAGTGAGTTCAAGACCCTGCCTCAAAAAACAAAACAAAACATAAAGAGGGCTTGGGATGCAATTCAGTGGTAGAGCCCTTGCCTAGCACGTGTTGAGACTCTGGGTTCAGTCCCCTGTACTAGATTTTTTAAAAAAGGTAGGAGAAAAATTCACTATTTTAGTCCTGGACGTGGAAGGGTGGGAACTTTTCTTGTCATGCTGCATTTTCCAAATTTTTCTCAATAAATACATATTACTCTGTGATCAACAGAAAACACATCAAGAGGTTCTAAACTGCATATTTATATTTATGTGTAAAATGATATAATTGTGTCTGTCTATGTGTGTTTATGTGGGTTAGCACATTTATGTAGCTGGGTGGTATCAGAGGTCAGAGCACTCGATTCCTCACTTGATGGGGAAAACTGGGGCCCAGGAACCAAGTAGGAAATTTGGGGATTTCTCCCAGAGCCTGGTGGGGTTCCAGCTTCCCTAAACACCTACTCCATTCATTTCCATAAGGGCTTTTTTTTTTTGGTCTTTTTGAGACAGGGTCTCCCTGTAGCCCCAGCTGTCCTGGAACTCACTATCTAGACCAGGCTGGCCTTGAACTCACAGAGACCCGCCTGCCTCTCCCTCCCAAGTGCTGGGATTAAAGGCGTGTGCCACCAAGCCCGGCCATAAGGGCTTTTTAGTCCTGCTTTATGGAGATAGAAATGGAGGCACAGAGAAGTGAACTGAGTCACCCAGGTGCCTAGTTAGGAAGCCACAGAACCAGAGCCCACCCTTTGGTTTCTGTGTACAGCCCACAAAGCTCGGAGAAAGAAGGGTCTTTGAGGAAACAAAATAAAGCAAAATCCAAGCCCCTCACCCTCTCCCAAAGACTTGGATATTAGGAAGCAACTGCTTGCTTAGAAAACCAAGGAATTAGTT